AGTCCCCTGGGCCTCTAAGTAGAGCTGATAAAGCTTTGTGTATGTTGTGTTGACAGTTTAGGAGTTTGGATTTACGGAATCTAGGGCTATAAAGGTAGGAGATGTAAGGTCTAAGGCTGCACGAAAGCTGTTCAGCACCGTCAAAACCGTTTAACTCTGAGCCAAGATCCTCTGAACTCTGAACTCTGAGCCCAGACACACAGTTTAGGGTTGAGGGATTAGGGGTTTAGGGGTTCAGGGTTCCTAAATCCCACCCACAACCATACCTTTTTAACCCCAAGCCCTCATGGAGACTCGAATCCGAACGGCTCACGGAATCAACGGATTCAAACTTCCCCTAAGGGTTTAGAGTAAGGGTTAGAGAAGTGTGAAGGGTTTAGGGTCCAAGGACTCCTTATGATAAGACTTTGGGGCCATTTTGGGCACTACGACGAGCCAGAAATAAGGACTGCTTGCACTCTCGGGGCTTTGGCTGCCATGAACTTCTGTGTGCACCCTTGGAACCAACATAGGGGCAGTTCTCTAAATTAGGGTCCCTTTTGGGGTCCTTTTATAAGGGTGCCGTACTATATTTGGGACCTAAAAAGGGACCCTATTTTAGAGAACTACCCATAGACGTAATATGTTTTGACAGTCCCTTAGAGTTTTGAATAACAATGAACCAGGGTTCAGGGTTCAGGGTTTAGGTAATTCCTCAGGGCACTAACGTTTCCTATGTAGTACCTTTCAAGGTGTCTACAAGTACATGCTTCATACTCGCTTGGACCACTGGAGGCAGAATGATGAAACAAACAAAACTGACACTAGCAACACCTGTAGTCATACCGCTTCGGGAGTCGGATTGTCGATACATCGGGTCGCCAGTACTGCTGACCAGGTGTGCTTCGCTGCGGTTGGTGACTTTGAAGCTCCGTTGCCAAAATTTGCCCCAAGGTTCCCATAGTGCACACATCGTTGCTTCCGAGACACACGAAACATCCAACAAGATCACGACGGCCATCAAGAGGACCAGAAGCATGCAAGGCCACATGACCGACGGCTTCATAACGTTGCCCAAAACCTCCGCCGGGACCTGGTGACTCCTTGCAGCCTCCAAAACCTTCAACTCTCAGCAGGAGCCAGAAACGGCCAAGGAGACATTCCAAACAAACGACCATGCACAGTGCCGAGCGAGACAGAGAGAGAGAGAGAGAGAGAGAGGGACAGAGAGGGAGGAGAGAGAGATCTTTTTGCTCTCCTGGATGGTAGCCCAGAGCCCTGAAGCTGTGCCTTTTCGCAAAGTTCCGACACATCGAAAGCCGCGACGATGGCGACCTCGCACAAGGGAGTTGCCTTTACTCACCATTGATATCTCTCTGCTTCTGAACGTTGCCTTGTGAAACTTTTGCTGTATCTGTGACAATTCTCGCTATAGCTGTCCGAATTAGCTGAACCTTTGGTTACATCTGTGACGATCATCGCTAGAGCTGTCCAGACTACCAGTGTTCTAGTTGATGCGGAGGTCATTCCGGCAATTGTTTGCCGCGATCTTAGAAGAAGTAGTAATTAAGTAGTAGTAGCAGCAGCAGCAGGAGTAGCAGGAGTAGCCGTAGCACGAGCAGCAGCAATTATGGAGGTGTGGAGTAGGAGTGGGAGCAGGAGCAAGAATAGGAGGAGGAGGAGGCCGAGGAGGAGGAGGAGGAGGAGGAGAAGGCGTAGGTGTAGGAGTAGGAGTCGCAGTAGGAGTAGGAGTAGTAGCAGGAGTAGTAGCAGTAGTAGTAGTAGTAGTAGTAGTAGTAGTAGTAGTAGTAATGGAAATTGCTAATATTAGCTATGAAATATTCTTAAATACTGTTACTATAACTTTTGTTCTTTTTGGGT